TATGAGTTGCCCTGCCAAATATTTGGGAGGGGAAAGGCTATAAAACTAATGTATTGATTTGGTTCTCTCTACACATGTAAACAGACTAAACAAAGTCATTCATGAAGACAAGGCCACAGTGTATTACAGGCTTAGTTTACAACTTTCAGAAGTCAAGGTTGTAATTTCTGTGCAAAAGGGTGGTTTTTCAGTGACATTGAAAGTAGTGGCCATGCTTAGAACTTATGATATTTTTAAAAAATCCCTACTTAAAATATAAAAGCAAGAATTAATGCAATCTTTTTGAAAGAGACCCTAAATTTAGATTTTAAAGACCTGTATGAATGTTTGTATTAAGTTCTCATTCAATCTTAATTGCTGGTACTTAATATAACTGTTTTTAAACCGCCCTAATAATCTTTTATTGATGGCACATTAAGGAGGTAAACAGAAGACTGCTCAACCTTACTGCCTTGCAGTAAAACTAAAATCATGAAACAGAATAAGAAAAAACTGAACTGAAGCTATCTGTAATACTTGATTTATATGCCTGTGTTCATATTAAAAATGATACTGTTCTTTTGTTGAATAGACTTCACCTGCTAACTGTGAATATTAGCTATCCATTCTTAAGATATTTGTGTTTTGGAACAAGATGAACTCTGATATTATGGCTACACTGTTAAGCCTCCTTAAAATGAAACAAACATGTCCATTTGATAGAGCTGAGACACAAGTAGTGTTTCACATAAACTTAGGCAGTCTGGCCTGATTCTGTACTAAGCAAAAGTGCCTATGTGATTTCAAAATACCTTTGCAAAACTTTGCGTCAAATCTTATAGTGGCAGGTACACTGTGAAATTGGAGTCAGTCTTGTCTTCATTTTTGATCTTAAATGGAAATTGGAGGACAGCCTTTTGAAGATCAGTGGAATAATATAGTCAGGTTCTTTGGAATCAGTTCCATTGCCACCACAACTTTCAAGCTCATCTTATAAATCTTGTTTCAGAAACTGAAGTTTTCTGTTAGCAACCCTCCCATAAATGCAGAATTGTACTCACAAGGGGGTTGGTCTGTGCCTAACAGTGCATGCAATGAAGTGATTGAATCTTAAGCATATTAAAAAGTATGATGAATACCTCTAAGTAAACTTGATATTTTAAATTAAGGGCAAAGTTCTTACAAACATTCTTCAACACATCCATAGATGTCAAATGATTACTTGCATTGTGCATACAAATGTGTGGTTCCTTCCCCCATGTCCCTAATGAAGTTCCCGAATGCTTTTATGCTTTACATGAAAGAAAATAATCTACAGACAGTTTCCTGAATTTTCACGTATTACACATTGAGCTTTCATAATGCTATTTATCTGCAATGTCTTTTCCTCCTCTTCTCCCACCTTTGAGAGATGTGGGGTGATATCTGGCTTGAAGAACTTTGTGAAATTTGAAAGCTGACTCACAATTCGGTGACTGTAGTTTGTCTTATACAAGTTATAATGCTACTGTTGCTCTTTGAATTTTTTTCCTAATGGAACAATATTTCTGCCTGCATTTAATTTATTTGTCATTTTGGATGCAAGATAAAAAGATGGTTCTTAGCTGTAAGTATTTAACAACAATCCAATATTTTCACCAAGCCACAGCTTGAGGCCTGAATTTGACTGTGGCCATGGTTGCTGGAAATGTCAAGCACAGTAAAATGCAGTTTATCCAGAAAGTTGGCCACTTCCAGGGTGCAATTCAGTTAGGATGTGCCTACATTCGGGTCCGTATGGAGATCCTATGAAGGATGAAAGGAAAGTGGAGGCAAATGTCAGTTCCATGCTCCTCATGCACTGCAAAGTACTTAAAATGGATGATTTTGACTAAGTGAGGTTCTTCACAGTGAGAAGAAAGGTGACTGAGGTCACTCTCAGAGAAATAGCCAGTACATTTCTTTCCAAGCTGGCTGTGGAGAAGATGGAGATGAGAACTCCCCAGAGATGATGATCCCCAGCTTAAAGTTTGGAGCACCTTTCTCACCCTCTGGTTGGGAATCTGAAGCAATCCTGCATCCATCCATCCATCCATTTATTTATTTATTAAAACATTTTTATGCCGCCCCATTCGCCGAAGCCTCGGGGCGGCTTACAACAATAAATTAAAACCACATAAATTAAAATATACACTTTAGAATAATAATTTAAAATATATATACATATGTATGTATATGTACACACACAATATAAAATAAGCTGACCTGGCCAGATAAAATTCAATAATATTAACATTTAAAATGCTGCTTAAATAAAAAGGTCTTCGCCTGGTGCCAAAAAACAAATAACGGCGCCAGGCGGACCTCTCTGGGGAGCGCATTCCATAACTTAGGCGCCACCGCTGAGAAAGCCCTCCTCTGAGTAGCCACCCTCCTAATTTCTTTCACGGAGGGCTCCCGGAGAAGGGCCTCTTCCACCGATCTCAGGGGGCAATTGGGCATATATGGATGTAAGCACTCCTTCAGGTAACCAGGACTCCTTCAGGTAACCAGGTCCCATCTAGATTCTATCAAGTTATCACAGGATTGCTCTGTAAGCTAGCATATACCTTTAAGGTTAAAAAAATGTAAGGGAGTTGAGGGTATCAGATACCAACCACTGCATCAAGGTAACATTTTATTTTGGTCCTTCCTCCCTCTCTCATTTCCAGTGAAAAGCCTTGATATGAATGATTAAAATTGTAACAAAAAGATTATGTGAATGGAGAAAGTCTGTACATTAATATGAATCGTGATTTTTCCTTCTCCCCTTCCCCAAATTTAGATGTATTTAACATGTTCTGAAGTCTGCTTTTCAACTTATAAAGTAAAGCTTAAATGTCACACAAGAATAGCATGAAAATAATCAGTTAATATTTTCAGAAATTTAAAATATAGGACATTCTATAAATGTTAAGTATTATTAGCTATGCTGAGCAGTTAGACAACTTAAGACTATATTATTCTTTCAAATGATACTAGGCACTTAATTGAAGAGTATAGAAATTCAAAATGTAATATGAAATTAATCTTTCTAAGGTTATTTAAGTTAATGGTACAGTAACGACAAACTAATTTTACAGTGATTAAGAGATAATATACTCAAGGCTTCCAGTGATGCTTTTGTTGAGGTAACGTACCTATCTTTGATGAGACTGAGGGTGTAAAAATTCATTGTAAAGCATGCCTGGGGAGAGGGGATCTCTAAAATTCTCTGTTGTAGTTGGGTTAAAAAATCATAGATCAGTGCAGCCTTCAAAGAGCCACTGTGGGCCCATTTAAAACAAAAAAAAAATTCATATCTGTCTTGCCTGTAGCTTTGATCATGATATTATTTAGCAGTTGAATTACAATGGCATGGTCATCAGATGCTCCTTGGGTTCCATGAAAAAAAAACCCACAGATTGTTGAAAAAAAAATTCCTTAACAGTTTTCACAGTGGGAATTACTCCAACATTTAAAATAGTATTGATTACCTTTTCTTCTCTGATGGAATGCAAGATACATTGCATTCCTGAGTGGTCCCCCTTTCTGGAACTGATCAAACAGTCTTGCTTGTTTTAGTAAGGTTGCTGCATTGCGTATAATTGTAGGATCAGAAGCTGTCTCTGGCATAGAAGCTATAAAGGCAGATGATCTGCATCCTTTATCATACTCTCCCCAGTTTGGTGGCATAGTATAGTTTAATTTTGTAACTTGTAATGATCCAAACATGTTACACCTTTCTCCATAAAGTCCATGCAATATGTTAGGATATCACAGCTTTCCTTAATGCCAAGATTCCATCAATAGAATGGGATCACATATGCCCTGTTTGCTGCTATGATGTCATCAAAATGATATTAGCACAGGCAATGACATGGACCTACTTTGCAATGAACAGATAAGTGCTGTATACTGTTATATTAAACTTGTTAAACAGAGCTTTTAAGATGTAAAGGTCTTCTGATATGGCTAAACTTTCACATGTAATTTGTGCAGGCACAAGAATCAGTCATGAATATAAACCAAAGCCATATTACTAAGTCTTCCATATAGGATGTCCAGTTTCCACAAAACATTTCTGAAGACAGTATAACCAATGAGTTACAGCATTGATTGGCTTCTGAAGACACATTTTACTCTATGATAAGTGCCTAACTGATTATTGGCTGCATATTGCAATACTACCTCATTGACGTAAATGGCCTCAGGAACTAAGACACTTGGATAATAAGAAGTTTGAATCAATTGGAATATTATTTACAGAGATTCACTAATAAGATGCTGCATGCACAATGAATGCAATTAAGGGATTTCAGTAGTCAAATTTCTAATAGAGGGTTTAGCCTATTATTTTATTTTCGGTTCCTGAAGGAGCCAAATTACTGGATCCAATAATTATTTTATTTTTGGTTCCTGATGCAAGGATCAGAAAGTATGATCCTCCATTACAAGAATGACATTTGTTTTCTGCTAATTATGCTTTTCTTTAATAAAGGGAGGAAGTAGAAGAGTGGGAGGGAGATAGCAGTGACAGTGGATTGGCATAAATTAGTTTATTACAGCAGAATAACTGGGGGCGGGGGAAGGAAAGGACGCCCTAGAGATTACTTGAACTCATACATTTCTGCTGCCAAAGTTTACAGGCCTGTAAATTTAAATGTAGAATTTTTGTAGGCAGAATGCATTGACAAATATGCCTAATGGTAATACATCTAGTTCTGAGCCTCAGAACAGGTCAATAATAATGCTTATATTGATAGCAGCAATGTAGGAGATGTTATTTGGTATTAAAGCTAAAATCCATGTTATCCCCTTAATCATAATTACATTAATATTGTCAGGCCCTTGACAATACCCACTTTACTATTGATAGATTTCTGTCAATAATGCATTTCTAAATAAAATATATTCATTCATAATTTGTACAATACTCAGTAAGCAATGCTTATATTGGAAGAAATACCTGTTTTATTGCTGATATACAGCAATTTGTTTTCTTACACTGTGTTTTGCAAAAGGGACTCCTGGTTTCAGTACAATAAAAATGGACATCAGCTTATCTAAGAGAACTGTAAGATATGCATGAAGAACTGATTTACAGTTCATTTCTAAAGAGGAAAACTGTGTGATACTGCATTAAAATATTGGTTAAATTTAAGTCTTGGCCCATATCATCTTCAAATTTCTTTGTTTGATTTTAACCCTTAACTTCTTCCTGACCTATAATTTTTTCCTTAGTATTTGTTTTTTTTTTACTTGATCACGCTCTTTAAAAAACATTAAAGACAGTAATTGTATGAGTTTTTTTGGGTCTGAAATGTACAGTGATGTAAAAGGTGATACTGGGACACTACCTACCATAATCACCAGTTGTCCTTTACCTAAGGATAACTATCACTTTTAGTTGGCAGGGACAAAATCAATGGAGTACAACACTGCCCTGGATTCAAAGAAACTAATTACTAGAGCACAGTGTAACTCCTCTAGTCCTCAGTGTATGTATGTTGCAGGGAACACTGGAATTCTTCAAAACGTTAGCAGAGATTCAGTGAAAAGTTTGGTGGTTGAAAGTTGATTGAAAGACAGCTTCTATAACATTACTCATCCCTTACACTATGCAGTTACAGAGAATATTGGATGTGCTCGTACTGGAAAATGGTGATGTCCAGTACCCTTCAACATAATTTTAAATTAACATAGGTTCTTTGGTACCCAAGTTGATATGGAAAAAACTTTCATGTAAGATAGGAAGGTTTAGCATCACTACCCCAACAGATGTACTTCCTTCCCCTCTGTACCCTGCCATTCTCAAACAGCCTGCACCATTTAATAGATACTTGCTGGTTTTAATTAAGTAAAACTAGAATTCCCTCCAGAAATGAAAGGTTGAGAGCGTGCCCTATTACAATGTTTTGTTTTATTTTGTTTTAATTTTAGCACGCCTGTATTATTTCCTCCATTGTTTTGTGTAGTAATTGTGGCAAAATTTTCAGCAGCATCTACTATGTATTTGTACACAGTATCCCCACCTGATGCATTTAAGGTGTCGAAACACCACAATCCAATGAAGTTGCAGGTAAGCCTCTAAATTTGGATAATGATGTATATTCTATCAAGGGCAGGAGGAGCACAGAGACAAAGGATTCCTCCATGCTGCTGCTACCCTGCAAAAGGCTTTTGCTCAGTCTAAGACTTTTGGGTAAGGTGCTGCTGGGGCACATCACTGAGCCTCATTCCTCTTTTTCCTGCTACCCAGGGCAATCCCAGTTCCAAGGTAAGGCTTCTGCCTTCCGAGCTTCAGCCCACACCGTTTTTCTGTGCCAGTTGCTTGAAATTTGGGAGTCCCAGAGCTAGGTCTCTGATTTTCCTGTGGCTATCTAAACAGCATTGAACACCCAACATTACTGTGATAATATTTTTTTTTAATCGCCTACTTAATTTTTTTATTCAGTCATTAATTCATCAATAGATAGCACTGAAATCTCAGCACAAATACATCTCTGAAATAGTTTTATTTCTGCTCTTTAAAAATGTTATCGCTTTTGTCTGCAACTTCCTTTTGCTTGCAGTAAAGGCATTTGGCATGCGAGCAGGTCTGTTAGGTGGAATGTTTTTATTCTGTTATTACTATGTTTTTATATTGCTTTCATCAAGTTTTAGTTATGATTGTATGCTGCCTTGAGTGTCATTTTTGTAGTAGGAAGTCAGGGTACAAATCAAATAACCAATAATGAACTGTTTGGGCAAAGGGCAAATAGCCAAGAGGGAGACACATTTTAAAATTTGAAGTGAGGGTGTTCCACTTAACTGAACACTCCATCGTTAGGCTTAATTGTTAGATTTCACATTGTGACTTTAAATTGTAAAAACTAATATTAGCAACAGAGGATGAAAATAGTGTCACTATTGCTCAGTGTCCATCTGAAGTGTTTGTATTTGAAGAACTGGCATGAGACAGGGCACCCAGTGTTCAAGTCTTCACTTACCAATGGGTGGTGACCTTGAGGTAAGTCAGTCTCTCTCTCGTGCTCTCTTTTGAATGGCATAGCTCACAAAGTTGTTGTAAAGATGTATGGAACAATTACTCTAAAACATGAAAGTATAATAGAAATTAAACTGATAAATCTACTTTTTGTCATAGAAAACTACATGTTGACAATGGAATCCAGGGACAACAATGGCAAGAAAGTTACCCCTGTGCTCAGAATAAGTCAGCTTGATGCCCTTGAACTAAACAAAGCCCTGGAGCAGCTGGTGTGGTCCCAGTTTACTTGCTGCTTTCATGGATTTAAACCTGGACTTTTGGCTCACTTTGAACCAGAGATTAAAGCATTTCTGTGGCTTTTTTTGTGGAGATTCACTGTCTATTCCAAGAATGCAACAGTGGGACAAGCTATTTTGAACATTCAGTATAAAAATGACCTATCTCAGAAACAGAAATACCAGACATTGAGCAAGCAACAGAAAGTATGGTACCTTATTTGCACCGTTGGTGGGAAATGGCTTGAAGAAAGGTGTTATGATTTATTTAGCAATCGTCCTTTGGAGTCATTCCAGAAGACAAAGTATTTCATTAACTTGGTTGTTGGGCTTCTCAGACTTGGTGAATTACTGAACTTCTTAGTTTTTCTGCAGAAGGGAAAGTTTGCTACACTTACAGAACGTATTCTAGGAATCAGGTCAGTGTTTTGCCAGCCACAAAGCATCCGCCAGATTGGATTTGAATATATGAATAGAGAACTCCTATGGCATGGGTTTGCTGAATTCCTGATTTTTCTTTTGCCACTTATTAATATGCAAAAACTCAAACTCAGAGTTTCTTCCTGGTCTTTACCTATTGAAAGATATTTGAATATTGATAATAATTCGATACTGTGTTCTAAGGAATGTTCTTTGTGTGGGGAATGGCCCACTATGCCACACACCATAGGCTGTATACATGTATTTTGTTATTATTGTATTAAAAGTAACTACTTACTTGATGTGTATTTTACATGTCCTAAATGTGGAAAAGAGGTACAAGATCTGCAGCCATTAAAGTACAAGATAGAAATGAAAGAGGTGTATATGCATTAGGCTTGTTGAAGTTTTCCCCAAATGCATAATCAAGTATAATTTCTGTAATTTAGTGACTTCTCTATAGGAACACTTAGATTCATCTGTAATTTTGACCTGTACTTTCTATAATTATCTTGGTTAGTGATATTTTTAAGTTGTTTTACTATAAAATGATCAGCAATTCTAAAGAAATCTTGAATTTAAAACAAGTTAATTTAATAAAGTATTAATAAGCAAAAACATGAAGCCAAGATTAACAATGTCTTGTTTTATTTATCATTAAGCATGATAATGTGTAGCCGATGTTTAAATACTGCACAAAGGCACCTAAGTACTCGTGTAGGCAACACAACTTGACAAAGACCCATGAACTCAATCCACAGGTGAGAGTAGAATCTATCCCACTATACAACTAATAAACAGATGTTTCTTGAGAGTTTTCTTAATGAGAAGATACGGGTTTTATTATGTTCTTTATTGCCCATGATCGGACATGGACCAAAGCTAAGTGTTTCATAAAAGACCAAGAGCAAGAATTGGAGGCTGGGCAGTCACTGTTTAGTTGGGCAACTAAAAGTTCTTATCTGTAAAAGCTCTTGGACAGAGTTTTGGAAAGATGGCCACGTTTCATGAGTTCATTATCAGCTTGATTTCCTGTATATTTTGTTTAGCCTAGTCACAAATAATAGTCCTAACCATACAGAGGAAGTGTTTTATATTAGTTGAATCATTACTAGTGTATTATGCACAATCGTTAGTTGAAAACCAGTATGCTGTCAGTTTCTTTTAATGTTTATTTCCCTGTGCCCTGATCTTCACAGAAGATGACTTTGTTCTATGTTTCATTTTCTCTATACACATAACATCATTAGCTAGGAGTCCAGCACTTATACTTGATTGCCACAGTGAGTACGCTATAGCAAACACTAAGGTTATAAAAAAATGCAAACACTTTAGCCATGAGCTCTCCATGTTCAGAGGCATTTCTCTTCAAAGCAGCATTTTTAGGAGATTAAATTTTGGTTTGAGAATTTCCTTTCTATCCCTATTAATTTGACTTAAATGCAATTTGACTTGCTACTATGTATTGTATCTCAGATATTGGCAACATGCATCTTACCTACCAGTTTGAAGCGAATTCCATAAGAGTTGATGAGTGAAATGATTTAATAAAATGCTTCTTCACAGATAAAACCTTGCTGTAGGCTTTGTATTCACATCTCTCAGCTGTACACAATAAAGAATGGAAAACAAAACTTTCTCCTCATCCTAATATGTATATCTTTGCACATATAGAATATTGTATAAGATGTTTTTATCTGCCCATTTTTTGCTTGTCATTGAAGACTTTAAACAGACCAAGCTTTTTTATGCAGTAAGTGATATACAAGTTAATTTTAGAAAGTACCATTCTAAAATTCAAAAAGGTTTACCCTTGGCCAAAACTTACAAAATGATTAGACCACAATTCTTGATTTGTTCATGTGAACCAGTGTTCCTGAGAACAGCTGAATAGCTCTAAGCTCAGTTGTGGAAGCATAGCTTGCAAGCATAAGGCCACAGGTTCAAATCTTGGCTGGGAAAGACACTTGCCTAGAATCCTTGAGAGTATATTGACAATACTGAGCTAGGTAGACCAATGGTCTGATAAAGTTTTCTATATAGACCTCTAGTTACCTTCAGCTTCAAACAACTGCCATCCTGAACTTTTTGGGAGCAGAGTTCTGAAGATGACCACTGTAACCTTTTCATCTGATGAGCTGAAAAGAGATGGGAGTGAAGTGTGGATAGGAATCAGCTTAGGAAATAATGTCCTTGTTAACACACACAATTATTGTATTTAAGGGCATCCAACCAGAAGCTAAGCCACTGCTTAGTGAAAAAGAATCTTTTTATTTAAACAGTATTTTAAACTTTAATAGTTTTTAAGTTTGTTTTGTGACTTACTGTTTTGTTCTGATTTATTATTTATTGATTTTTTTGTTTTAATTGTCTTTTTAAATATTGTAAGCTGTCCTGAGATCTAGTGTAATAGGACGGCATACAAAAGCTTTTAACAAATTAATAATAAATAAATAAAAAGAAGTAAGATAGTTTGAATTTTTGTTCTACAGTCTGATGCTGCAAAGACAGAGATTGAATTTCTCAACGTGCTCCAAGCCTCATCCAGCCACTTGATGGGCATTCAGAAAGGTTTTCTTGGTTCCCGTAGTGCCTCCAACAGTTGTATCTGTATTTTTGTATTTATTTTATTTATCACTATGAACATGGGCATATTGGTCAAATTGCACATGAAGTTCTTAGAGGTGAAGAAACTTTGGAAACGATTATTGCCTTGCAAATAGCCTAAAGAGATTCAGTTATTGGTGGTATGGAAATGTAATTGTGTGGTTGCTTAACAACAGCATTGCCATTGAAATGATGATTAGAGCTGATTAGAGTTCTGTTCTAACCTCTCCTGCCTCCACTCCCAGAAGTACTTTAAACCAAGAGATTATTTCTTGTATCTTAGTCCTACATATCTTATTATTATGCAATATAATCATGTTATCTTAAAATACGGTGCTGGGTTGCAATTTAATCTTGAATATATCCAAAATCATTCATATTACTGTATTCCCAATTACTATGTATGGGCGTGAAAGCTGGACAGTGAAGAAAGCTGACAGGAAGAAAATGAATGCATTCAAAATGTGGTGGTGGAGGAGAGATTTGGGGTTAAGCTGGACAAACAGATAAACAAGTGGGTTCTAGATCAAATCAAGCCAGAACTTTCCCTAGAAGCAAAATGGCAAAACCAAGGCTGTCATGTTTTGAGCATATCACAAAAAGGCAAGACTCGTTGGAAAAGACAATCATGCTGGGGAAATTCAAATACAGAAGAAGAAAGGGAAGACCAAATAAGAGATACATTGACTCCACAAAAGAAGTCACAGCCTTGAAATTACAGGAGCTGAGTAGGATTGTCGTGGATAGACCATTTCGTGGGACTTTCTTGATAGGGTCACCACAAGTTAGAGAAGGTGTGACAGCACATAACAACTAAAGGACTTCATGTGATTCTTTGGTTGTTTCTTCCATCTCTCTAAAAGTTCTTGAAACAGTATCGCAGCTTTACATGCAACGCTTTCTTTTGGAAATTATTTTTGAGACCTTGTTTAATCATTCTGTGTGGTCCTCTTTGGAACACACTTGTCCCGTGGCAAGAACTATGCTATCAATCATAAGTCATATAATTGAACAAGAAACAGTTTACCATCGTAAGATTCATCGTCATGAGATTCTAAGAATCCTAATTCAGTTTTCCTATACTAGACACAGACAACTTGTAAATCAAGACATCTGAAAGCTTATGACTCCCATTATCTGATATGGTTATGGCTGATACAGGGATTTTAGTCCAAAACATCTGGAAAGCCATAAACAGTATGGGTATCCACAAGTCACCAGCTGTGGACAACCGGGCATTACAAACTATCTTGCATGTAAGGGTACTTGCAGGTATAGAATACCTTGCCTTCAGACAGCTAGTTCAGGTATTAACTACGGAATCTTTTCATACTTAATACTAACATTGAAGTCCGGGCCCAATTCAAGGTGTTGGTGATGACCTATAAAGCCCTAAACAGCTTGGGTCCTGGCTACCTGAAGGAGCGCTTACGTCCATATGTGCCCCCCCGCCCCCTGAGATCAGCAGGAGAGGCCCTTCTCCAGGAACCCTCCGTGAAAGAAATTAGGGTGGGTACTCGGAGGAGGGCTTTCTCTGCGGTGGCACCTAAGTTATGGAACGCGTTCCCCAGAGAGGTCCGCCTGGCGCCGTTATTTGTTTTTCAGCGCCAGGCGAAGACCTTTTTATTCAAGCGGCATTTTAACTGTTAATATTATTGGATTTTATCTGGCCAGGGTGGCTTATTTTATACTGTATTTTGTAATTTTAATTTAATGTTTATATTTTTGATTTATATTATAATTATTTTAACTTAGTGTTGTAAGCCGCCCCAAGGCTTCGGTGAATGGGGCGGCATAAAAATGTTTTAATTAATAAATAAAAATAAAAACCCATTCTAGGCAATTGCATTTTCTATGTTCTTGCACAAAGTTCCCCGCTACTGGCTGCTCTATTTCCATTGAATGATGGAAAACAGGGAGCAATTATGATAATCCCTGTAGATCTCTCTGTTAAGTAATAGCTATGAGGTTTTCTGCCAGAAAAAGCAAACAAGAAAACACAAAAACCAAATAAAATATGTTCAGCATGCAAAAATCAAGTATACAAAAGGTATCTTTAGAGTATGCATTGTACACACACACCCCTCACAACCTAAGCAAGTTAATTTTCCCAAAGCAATTGCCAAATGAGGGCTTGAGTTACAGTGTGTACTCTGACAGGAATCCATGGGGGGTTGATATTAAGCGCACAGAGGGTAATTAAGTTGTTGGAATCATTACTTTAGCAGTCAGTTTGGCACAGGGCAACTGTCTCCCCACCTTAGCCACAAGCAAGAACATCAGTTAATTTCCACTCCTATTTAAATGTTGTCTTTTTGTCTTTAGAGGAGATGAAGGCAGTCACTTTTAACTATTTTAATTTTGTTTTATGAAGGATTTTTGTAACTACAAACAAAAACAATTAAATTTCAGTTTCTTCTTTTAAAAGGGATCGTGAACTTAGCACATTGTGATGAGAAGAATATCTTCACGGTTTAGGTTCCTGTGATTGCAGGAAACTTTTAGTCCACTGGACTGTTGTTTTTTGAAGATATGCTGAAAACAATATTCTTCAGAATATTTCCCCCCCAGGGGAAAAGACTTTCTCGAACTCAGAAAATATAAATGCAGATCTTTCTGCTTTAAACTGGAATGTACCTTATGCCCCATTGTTGCCATTCCTTCCCTCCACTTAACTGGAAGGATGAAAAAAATAATGTCGTAAGAGTAATGGATCTGTTTGAGTGTTTGGTAGCAGATAGTACTCTATTCATGATTGTCTTTGCAATAATTCATTGCTTTGAATTTGGAATTCTATTATTTTACATCTCTGGCAGTTTAAAGTGTATTTTTAATATAAACAGCAAACTTCACCTCATAAAAATTCATTACATAAGGGCATAAACAAGTATTTTTCCTTCCAGTCATTGGCAGTAAATGATTCATCAGTTTTCCACAGAAAACCAATTTCATTGCAGATGTTCTGTAATTTCCACTCTTCTTGGGTTGTAGAATCGTATCAACCAATCCCTATTCAGGCAATAGAAAGTTTTTTGAAGGAGTGTGTGTGTGTGTGTGTGTGTGTGCGTGCATCTGTGCACACTTAATCTTTTTAATAGGATTGACTATCATTTGCTGTCTCATCAGTTTTTCAAAATAACCATAAAGTAATCAGTCTGCCATTCTTTCCTTTGGTATATAGGCTATCAATTTACTCAGTGCTCTGCTTCTGTTGTTTGAGTGGAAATTAATAACTGGCATAGCAGCAACATACCTCCTGGTATATCCACTGTGCACAAAGTAGCATATCCACACCCTCTGAAGTCCTGTATATGCCGATTTAGAAATAGGCCACATTGAATTCAGTGGGCTTTACCCCCAGGTAAGTGGGTACAAGGTTGCAGCCTCAGCCTCAATTGTGTAGAGCATGAGTGCTAGTTCCCGTTGTTTGGGCTTTTACGCCACACACCAACTTTCTCATGCATCAGCTTTCACAGCTGATTTCCAGCCTTACCATGATTACGATGGGAGACTTGACAAAGTGCATCATTCCCTGATGAAATGGATTCTACACTGGCCTTTGGACTACTAAGGAGTCGATTTCATTAGGGTTTTTATCTTGGTATTCTCTGTGTTTGGCATATAATTGCCTATGGACAGGGAAACCAAATCCATCACGGAGTGCAATATGGAATGAGATTGTGAGATGTTTTAAGCTTCTACACAGAAGAGGATACTGATGTGGGGATTAAACATGTGAAGAGAGCTTCATGTCTTAATATCCATGTCATTTTCTGTGTATGTACATCCCCTGCCATGGTTTGCACAGCAGGATCCCAGACATTTCTGCAAAACATACACTTATGATCAGGTCCTGGATTTAATTTACATTTTAAAACCTTAAAGTATTTTTACTTGCATATATTAATAGAAATTGATTAGGCTAAATGTGACTTTACTGAATTATTTGGTGGCAAGGCCAACTGAAATTTGAAAAAAAAGAAACTGTCTCAGAACAAAAGCAAGTCAAGAAAGGCTTAAAGGATGT